ACCCAAACGTGGTCCAACCTGGCCAGAACCTTGCTGGAGTCTTGGGTCATTGGATGGACCACAGTGAGCCAACTAGCCTCCATGCGGTGTGACGTTTGGTAGGAGGAATGCCCCCTGGATGAAGTTTCTAGAAATTGTAAGTCAATGGCCAGGTAATAGTCTTGGTCAGAAGGCCCGCTTGAAACCTCAGAGCTCAGCCCAGGGCAGCAGCTGGTCCCTTTCAGGGAGTTCCTGAGTTCCTGGGTTAAACCCAAGCCCATGCCTCCCTTGTGTCATGCCCCACATTAAAAAGGCCCTGTCCAAGGCTAAGGCAGGGAGGAGCGTGTCAGAGGGCTTTGTAAAAGTAGCCACAGTTCACATAAAGCCCAAAGAAGCCATGCAGTGTGGCATACTGTCCAGCAGCCCCAGCTGTGTGGCTCATCAGCTACATGCCCCAGTCCTCTCTGAGCTCAGTTCCTATGTCTGTCACATGGAGATAGTCACTCTGCCACAGCACAGTGAGGGTGAGCACAAAGGACTCTCACAGCAGCTGAGGCCTCAGATGGCCCTCCCCATGTGCCCTGCTCTATTCTAAGGAGTTTATATCTATTAACATTTCATCCTCTCATTGACCCTGGGAGGAAGATCTTAGCAAAAGCCCCATTTTCCAGCTGAGGAAACTGAGACGCTGTGTGGTCAGGTGAAACAGGGCCAGGGTCTGGACCCAGGCAGCCCAGCTCCCCAGCCAGCTTTCCTTAACCCTAGGTGCCAGGTGGGCACATGACACGGGACAGCTTATTGCTGCTGTTCACACCAAAGTTGAGAACCCAGGCTGGAAAATGCAGGGCTCTTGCTTGATGCAGAAGAAAGGCCCTTTTTGAGGTTGTGTTCAGTGTGGCCTGTGGCTCTGGGTCTTGCATTCCACAGATTTTTGGCCCCTGACTTGGTCTTGGCAGCCACTGCCTCATTGTTCTGCAACTTGGCAGGAGCTTCAGAATCCTGGGGACAGGCAGCTCCCCGTGTTACCCAGAGGTGCCCGCACGCATGTGCTGAAGGTCTTTTCCTTGCTGCCTACCTTGCATCCCTCCAACTCCCCCTTTTCTTTGGTCTTTCTGCATCTGAACCCTTTAAGCAGTAGTTTCTAATAGGAATTTTTAGAGTAAGGGGCTTGAGTTTCTGTTGAGGTGTGGAAAAACAGAATGCTGAAATCTAATACCCCTGCAGAGCCCCGAAAGGCAGAGGATTCCTTGGAAGCAGGAAGGACTTTGGAGTTATAGGTCTAGGTTTGAAGCCCCATTCTGAAGCTTATCAGCTAAATGGTGTTGAGCCTTCCTTTTCTGAGCCTCAGTTTCCCCATCTGTAAAATGGGTCTACCAACAGCCCTGATGATGAATGGGAAAGACCTGGCCTACTGAAAGTACTTGGAGAACCTTTATTTGCTTCCTTTTTCCCTCCTTCCCTTTTGGAGTGGCCCTCTCTGGCACCTGGTGGGCAGGGACTTGTAGAGTCTTCCTTGGCTGCTGTTTTCCAGGAACCAGAGCCCCTCCTCCTCTCTGGGAAGCATGGCACAGCAGGTTCTGGACAAAACAGTTAGTAGGTACAATAATTTACTAAAGCCTTATAGGTTCGGCAGAAAAGTTGGTAGAGATAGGACAGTGGTGCTGCATCAGCTTGGTGTGGTCTGGAGGTCAAAGTCCTGGGAGCTCTTACCGGGTGTGTGGTCCCTGGGATCATCCCTGCAAATCAGCACAGGCCCTGTTCTTGAGTGGAGAGAGGGCTTGTTTTGTATGGAGCCCTAAAAGGGGCATAGCACGGGAGTTTGGGCAAAGATGCCATCACAGGGCTGAGTCCTGGCTCCACTCTCTATGGTTCATAGGACCTAATCTCTTAACCTTCTCATTCCTCAGTTTTCTCATCTGTAAAATGGGACCATAATGGCCTTATCTCATGGGGTTGTTGTTAAATGAAATGGACTCATAGAGGTGAAATGCATAGGGCAGGGCTGGCACCATCAGGGCACAGCGGTTGATAGCCGTCACGGTCAGTATTATTCCTATCATTTGTGGTGTGGCCTGGGCCCCTCTTGGATTATTTGTGAGGAGCCTCTTGTGAGGCCATGGGATGAACTACTGAGAAGTGCAGACTGCTACCTCTGGCCACTGCTGTTGGAGGGCACTGTCAGAGCCACTCATGGAAGGTTGGAATGACATTTGCAAATACCTGCTAGGCTCCTGCCTAAGGTCCCAGCTGGTTAACTAGCAGGGTCAAGATTCACACTGAGGCTGGCCCCAAAGCCCTCGAGTCTGGAATGGGGCAAGATGGGACTAAGGGGACCACCCAGAGACAGATACTGCCATGGTTTCCTGTCCATAGGAACCTGGGGCAGGTGTGCAGGTTGGCAGGTGAGCCCCTGTGCCTGAGCCTCAGTGGGGTGGCCTGCAGGCGGAGACTGCTGCATTCTGAGATAAAGACAGAATCTTTTCACTAAAGACAGTTCTCCTCCAACCTTTCCCTGGAGGTCTCCCTAAGGGCAGAGGATGGTGAACATGTCACCCCGAGGGGTCTGGGGGTGCAGCCTGGAGCAGCTGCAGAGCCTGCAGGAGTCTCCAGTTTTATCTTCAAATTCATGCGCATTTTACATTTTGCTCCTTCTTATATTCCCCCCTGAGTAACAGAGATGCCTGGGGAAGGTGCTCGTGTTTATTTGTTTATCCTGGGGCTTTCTATACCCCAGGTTCACCACTGTGTCACCCTGGCGGGGGGGGGGGGTGTGCTCCAGTGCAGGAACTCAGCCCAGATGGCAGAGAGCTGAAGGTGCCTTGGTCCCATCTGCTTCTCAGGGCTTGGCAGGAGAGCCCTAGAGCTGGGAGCCCAGGTGTGCAGGTGGGGGCTGAGACTTATACAAGGCAAAGGCAGGAGTGGGGGGAGAGGGAAAGGGAGGCACAACCCATAATGCCTTCCAGGTGACACTGATGGGGCTGTGCTCAGTGTGCACAAAGGGGAATAGATCCATGTTATTTGTACTTATAGGCATGCACCCCATCAGACGCTGTGTCTGGGGGTCAGGCAGCTTCACAGGCAGAACACCACATGGGCTGTGGTTGGCAGAGCTCTCACCAGCAAGGGTCCCTGTTATCCTGAGTCGGGTGTGTTCTGCAGTCTGCACCACCTGCCTCCCTGTGGTCTTACTTTCTGCCATCTACTTTGCATGCCAGAGAGCAGTTTCACCCCACAATAGCTGTGGAAGGGGTGTGAGGGGAACAGAGGAGGAACAGTGCTGGGAGCCAGCATGCAGGTTCTGGGGAGACTTGGGGTACTTACTAGGGCACTGCTGGGGAGCCCGAGGGCCAGGCTCAGCAGATGATTTAGTGGTCAGTGGACATCCTTTAATATGTCAAAGGGTGTCATAGGTGTCCCTGGAGCCTGGGAGGTCAGGTCCACCAACCATGGCAGCTGGCAACAGATATGTTGGGGAGGAGGGAAGGGTGATGGCAGCCCAAGACACAGTGACCAGATCTCAGGGGTTCTGGCTATAAGGAATTGATTCTCTTCCCACGGCCCAGACACCCTGTGTTAACAGGGGCCTGGACCTACCCAGGCAGGGCACATAGCAGAGCTCACTGACCTAGCAGACCTGGGGAGACTCTCAGTTTAGGACTTGGCTGGTGGGGGTTCCTGGGTACAGGTGGCCAGATGAAAGATAGTAAGAGGCAGGTCTGTCTAGGGAGAGATGATCTCGGGCTTGGTCCTCCAGAAACTGACCCTCAGTCTAGAACACGTGGGATTTAAGGCTTTGTCCCAGGGGATCCTCTCAGGGAGTGGAAGGTAGGACTGGGAATGGGAGGAAGACAAGCCGAGGTGCCATCTCAGGCCAAATCTGCTGACCACCAGCGTCTCTGGAGTGCAGGCCACACCTCACAGTGTTCCAGCTTGGGGCAGGGGACTGGCCTTCATGCTCACCCCCTTAGCTGGTGAGTAAGAGCCACCCTGAGACTTCTGGCTGTCTAGAGGGTACATCACAGCTGCTCCACTAGCCTGGGCCGGTCCTCATATGGTTTCATCTAGGGAATAGTCAGGCAGGAGATGCCCTTGGGACACCTGGGACTCACTATGTGTTTGAACAATGCCCTGTGGGAGCCCAACCTGGCCCTGGCACAGGGCAGGTGCTGCAGAATGCTTGTGGGGTGAACGAAGGTCTTTGCTGCTGGGAGGAGGGGTTTTCCTGGGCATCAAGAGGGATCATGGTGGCTGGATACCAGCTCTCTTCCTCGGGCAGCATGGCTTTCTCTGCATGCATGTGCCTCTGACACCAGAAGCAGAAGTGATATTGGGGAGACACTCCAATGACCTTCAGTTCAGGACTGGTGCATAGTGGGTGCTTGATTAGGACAGCTGCTATGGTTACTATGGCTACCTATGACACACATCCTTGACTCCTGGGGCAGCCCAAGTCCTAGAGGTTGAGGGGGCTGCTCTTTCAGGTAGTGGGCCCTGCCCCTGCCCAGAGGTCTGTGCCCAGGGTGGTGAGCAGGACCCCTGGCCCTGGCCCTCTCAGAGCTGTGTATCTATGCCAGGGCCCAAGAAAGACAGGGGTGTGGAGTCCTTTCTGCAGCTGTGGTCTTTCTATCCTGACCACCCAGCCTGCCAACCTGGCTTTATGTGGGGGTGACGATAGGGGCAGTGCTGTAGAACTGCTCCCCCAGAGAATGGAGGACAGTGCTATAGAAAGAGCAAGGTGTTGGACTCTGGCAAATGTGGGGTTGAGTGCTATGCTTTCCTTGCTGGCCTGGGGCCACTGATAGATGTTTCCGTGCTGTGAACCTTGGTTTCTTCCTCTCTCCAATGGGGAAAATCCTAGTAACTAGTGAGGACAGGATAATGGAGGGACGGCATGTCACAGTGGGTGTGGAGTCCTGGCCCTGCCACCTCTGAGCTGGGTGACTGCTCTGCACCTCAGCTTACACCCCACTCTGAGGGTCCTCTTGAGGAGAAAGTGAACAGGCCCCTGTTTTCTGTTACAGCCCGTGCCCTTGTAAGGCTGGCATGCAGGATGGCAGGACAGCCCAGCCACATGTCCCATGGAGGGAGCCCAAACAACCTCTGCCACACCCCGGGGCCTGCGCACCCTCCTGACCCACAGGTAAGCCCATTTCCTTTGTCTGCAGTACATTGGTCCCTGAGTGTCCTTCATCTGAGCCCTCCACCCACTGGAGGAAGTCCCTCAGCACCTTCAAACAGAACCTGTTGAATGCTTCCAGTGATGGGGAGCTTACTACCTGATCCAGTGAGCTCTTCATTTCATTCAGCAACACTCAGAGAAGTCTCTGTGCTAAATTCTGGGCTGGGATGCCAGACCCTGGTCCTAACCGCGGGGAGTTTCAGCGTGAATGGAACAGCTTTATCCCAAAGGGATCAGCACACCTAGAAGGGTACTGAGAGGGTTGCACAGGCTCTGAGGAGAGTAAGGGACTCAGGAGGAGTAGGCAGGGTGTACTAGGGGATCAGGAAGTTCTTCTTTACACTGAGTCAATGTCTGTCTCCCTTTCTGGATTTGACTGTGTCCTCACCCCTTCAGCATCTTGATCTAGAACCAATAGTGCTTCAGAGAATGCCAGTGTCCTTACACCTGCCTCATGCTCTCTGTGAGAGAGCCAGGCAGCCTTTTGGAGCTTTTCTCAAGGTGGCCCGTCTATTCTGTGGCTATGCATACACTGTTCTGGGGCCTGAGGTGGCCCTGCCAAGTCTCAGTTCAGATGCTTCTGCTTCTGGGGAGACTTTTTCTTCCACCACTCCCCTACCTCTGGGCTGCCTTCCTTTCTAGACAGAGAATTCCTGTGGAGTGGAGCCCATGAGTGCTTGCTGAGTTGGTGAACTGCAAATACATGTAGTCCTCCCACTCAGGATGTGGCTGTGGGTGAGACAGACCTGGTCTACTCTCAGTGAGCACAGCCTCATGGGAAAGGTAAAAAACAAAAGCAGAAGAAACGTGGGGGCCTGTGGCCCCAGCAAGGTACCAGATCCAAAGTAGGGGCCAGAGAGGCTGCCTCAGGAGTATGGCATGCAAAGGCCTGAGGGGACAGAGAGCTTGTCTGGGCAGGTTGGCTGCAGCCAGATCCTGTAATGTCCTGTGGACAGCCTGGAATGATGCATAGTTCTTATCTGAGGTTGATTTTTTGTCCCAAGGCTGTGAGACCTAATTTAGGGGAGACTGAGAGACAGCCACCTTCCTGAGCCATGGAAGGCTTATTATGGCCTCTGACTACCTAGTTCCTTTTGGAGGATTTTAAGTTGGCTGATGTTTGACCTTATGGGCAGGGTCACCACGTACAGTTGTACAGGTTACATACTGCACAAAGGTGCCTGGCCAGGGAGGCAGAATGGTCCTTCTGCTGCATTTGCACTCTCACCAAGCATGCTCCCTGGTGCAAAGCTACATTAGCCCAAGGGAAAGGACACCGCTATAGATTCATATAGAGGTGACATTCTAGTGGACATTCTCTGTGTGTTGGGGGAGGGTGTGTATGTGTGTCCACATAAGTATGCAGAGGGTCTGTGGGCTTCTGAGCTATTTGTACTCAGGGTCCTATTTCCTAGGAAAAATTTGGGGAGGTAGGTCCTGGAAAGCTAGGAAGAGAAGCCTTGGGACACTGTTGGTCCAGAGTCCACCAGGACATGTGTAGATGGCTGGGGCAGTGGGGCCTCCTCAGGTAATATAGCAATTTGTCATATTAAGTCATTCACTAGCAACTGAATCCCCCTTGATTAATCTCCCAGAATTAGCCAGTTGCATTTTGAGCAATTAGGGTTAATTACAGCCTCATTTGGCAGAGGAGAGAGCCCGTAATTATTTCACGAACAAGGCAGGGAAGCAGTGGGCTGTGGCAGTGGCATTTGCCATGTCTTGTGGCACAGGTTGGGGAGGGTAATGGCATAGTTAAGTATAATCAGATACGATTTCCCAGCATGGGGCTGCTCAAGGCAGTGGCTGCCAGGCAAAGGTGCTCGCAGTCTCACGTGCAAGCGGCTGGGTGCAAAGAATTAGGGTGCACAGCCACGTGTGTGCTGCGCTGGTGAGCTCTCCTCATCTCAGGAAGTGCAGGGATTTAATCACCATCTGGGGAGACAATCCGGCCACATATTGCCTGCTCCAGAACATCGAAATGCCGTGAACTGATGGTGGAAGCATTTTCCTTGGTGGTAGGACGCACCACTGCTTCCCTGACACTGCCCTTGAGAAAGGAGCCAGCTCCATAGCCAGAAGGTACCCAGGTCATTAAAGGTACCCAGCTCCCCCTCTCATTGGCCAGGTGATGGTGGGTAAATGACTTCTCTGAGCCTCAGTTCCCTCACCTGCAAAATGAACTAAAAATGGCACCCACCCCATGAGTTAGCTGTGAAGTCTAAGTGAGATGATATACTTGAAACATCTAGCCTGGCACATAACATTGCTGGTGTTGAGACAATGGTTTGCTGTGGACTTTATATTTTAAAAATCATTACAAAAATCTTTTGTAGCTGAAGACCTCAGAACTGGAAAATACCCTCAGTGTAGAAAGAAAGAAGAAAATACAAACTGATTTTTGTTAACTTTCTTCTCCAAATGTTATTGGTTTTTGTTCATTTCAGGAAGCTTTCTGGCCTGAGAGCCCTAAATATACCTGCTGAACCCACAGAATCATATAGGAAATTCATATATATTTAGGAAAATGGAACATGCTTGGGTTTTTTTGTTTGTTTATTTTTTTGAGACAGAGTCTCACTTTGTCATCCTCAAGAGTGCTGTGGCATTGTAGCTCACGGCAACCTCAAACTCTTGGGCTCAAGTGATCCTCTTGCCTTAGCCTCCCAAGTAGGTAGGACTACAGGCACCCACCACAACACCTGGTTATTCTTGTCTCTGAATAAACAATAAGAAAAGGCTTAGAT